AATAAATATTTCCTACCTTCTGGTAAGTTTTAAAAGAAGAACTGTTTGAGAGTTTGGTCAGGGAAGTTAAAGGATTTGAGTACAGAATTAAAAAAGATTTAGCATTCCTAATGTTCAATGAAGTGTCTCTCTCTCTCTCTCTCTCTCTCTCTGTGTGTGTGTGTGTGTGTGTGTGTGTGTGAGAGAGAGAGAGAGAGAGAGAGAGAGAGAGATTGGTTTACTTTTTACATTTTTAAAACTCTTAGGATATTTCTACTAGTTCAAAATGAAAATAAATTCAAGACTTGAGAAATATAATTAGGTTAAATTACTTATGAATATGTGTACATATTTAGAAAATCACTGAAGCTTAATAATGCTTAGAGATTCAATTAACTTTAAATCAGAAGCAGATTCAAGCAATAATTTTTAAATCTAGGATTCACACAAGCCTGAGGAAGCTATTTTGTTAATTTTTGGTGTCACTACCTTGTTATGATACTTTGCTTTTATGATACTAAAAAATGAATTTCAGTGCAGTTAATTAGCGCAGGCTCCAATTTTCTTTTGGTTGTATTTAAACATTCATGAGGATTTTTAAAAATATAGGTACCACAGTGGTGTGTCACTCAAATGGAAGTTCATTTTTGCTTAGTATTTTCAATGCAAATTTCCTTGGAATGTTTTCATTCACTGGTTTGCTGATTTAGCTGATTCCAGATAAGTCACATGGTTCTTTTACATACTAATATAATACAATGTAACAATCTTGAGTGTTAAGCAGAATGAGAAATAAATACTTTCATTCGCTTCTCAAAATTTGATCCAATATCTTCCCAATTTTAATCCAGAATATTGATCTACTATATTATATGAAATTTGTTTCCTCCCCCCCTCCAGCCCTTCTTTCCCACTCACTAAATCAGTATTATATTTTGTCACAGTATACATTCTGTTTGTCGTGTTATTTTTTGTTTAATACTATGATGCTTTTATATTTCATTTCAGAAATAAATTAACATTTTTTAGTTTATGAATGTAGATGTCTGTCTGCCTGTCTGCCTGCCTGTCTGTTTCCATATCCACAGATATACAAAGACACACAGACATGCTGGCCAGGAGCAGCAAAGGACACAGTGGGGATTCCTATATCAATTTATAATATCTATATTTTCTTTTCAGATTTGCTAAAGAGGGTAGACCATGCATTCTCAAGCAACACAATGGCAGGAGAAAATAATAGTATAGCAACAGAATTCTTTCTGGTAGGACTCACAGAAAATCCTAACTTGGCCCCCTTTTGTTTTGTCATTTTTTTCCTGATGTATCTCATCACCTGTATGGGAAATCTTGGGATGATTACCTTGATCCAGATTGATTCTCGACTCCATACTCCCATGTATTATTTCCTCAATAATTTGGCTTTTGTGGATTTCTGCTATTCCTCCACAATAACTCCTAAAACACTATCAAACTTCTTAAATTCTAAGAAATCAATTTCTTTTGCTGGTTGCATAGCACAATTGTTCAGCTTTGTCCTTACAGCCAGTGTTGAGTGCCTTCTGCTAGCTGTTATGGCCTATGACCGTTATGTGGCAATTTGTAACCCGTTGTTCTATACAATCATCATGACTAAGAAAGTTTGCATCCAATTAGTAGGAGTGACTTACATAATGGCGTTCATTCATGCTCTTGCACAAACAATCTCAACCTTTAGACTCTCTTTCTGCCACTCCAATGTTATAAATCATTATTTCTGTGATATTCCTCCACTGTTAAAACTCTCTTGCAGTAGAACATTCAGCAATGAGATAGTGCTTTATACGTTTGGTGCATTTCAGGGTATTTTCACCTCAGTGCAGATCTTCATCTCATATATATACATCATAGCCTCCATTCTGAAGATCCACTCATCTGAAGGCAGGCATAAGGCCTTCTCCACATGTGCCTCTCATTTGATGGCTGTCTTGCTCTTCTATGGCACCACTGTTTTCATCTACGTCCGACCCATTTCCAGCTACTCACTTGGTCGAGATAAAGTTATCTCTGTCTTCTACACTATGGTGATTCCCATGTTGAATCCCCTAATCTATAGTTTGAGGAATCGGGAGGTGAGGGACGCATTGAAGCGAGTATTAAGCCGAATAAGGTTATCTTGAGAAAAACCTGTAATCCATGTTTGTCCAAATTGGAATTTTAATTTCATGCATGATATTCCCAATTGTTCAGGAATTCTAATTAAAAAGAAATACTAACTAAAAATTTCAAAATGTTTCTCATTTCTATTATGTAGAGGTTTTCTTGCTTAAATGAGCTAAAAACTGTCCACTTATTCTTGCTTCTCCTGTGAGCAAAGTGATTACCCATAGCCTAGCCTGAGGAAGACTATTGCCATACCTTGTACCCAGAGAAAATTTCTTTAAGATATCTATATGTGAAAGAAAAAAAGAGGGAGGATTTCTTCCCTTCCTCCTTTGCCAAAAAAAAGAAGAAATAAAATGACTGATGAAAATCAAAGAGAGATTATATATATTTATCCACATAAGCAGATCTAATTAATCTCTCCTAGATTGTCTTAATACAAAGGAATCCTCTCCAAAGATATAATTCTTCAAATTATATTAAATGTGAAGAAATACCCGAATTTTAAAGAGATACTGGTATTCACAGATGAAACGCAATGTGATTTAGCTGGGCATGTCAGAGACACTATTATTATTTTTTCCCCATGTTTATTTGTTATTTTTTATTACATAGACAACAATGGGTGACTTCCTGGGAGGAGCCTGCTGGTGGTGGCAGCAAAAAATCAGCTGCCTCCGAATTCCTGGCTACGT